CGCACAGGTATAGACATTTTGTATTTATTCATCAAAGTAATGGCAGACAATCAGAGCTAGGTATCTGTAAAAACTGCGTACACCACTAAAGCTGTAACAAGAGAGATAGGATTCGAGAAGAATATCATATAGACACCCATTTTGGGCTGTACTCTTTTTTTCAACTAGAATATAGATTTTTTTTTGTGAACACGGACACACACGGTTATTTGGATTTTTTAGTTATACAAAATGTTTTACAAGTATCGAGGTAATTATTGTTATCTTTTACAACTAAAACCAAGATATTCATGATGTTCGTGAGTGTTCCTGGTAGAGTCCATCGGATCGGTGCCTGAAAATTTTATTTCGACCGGTTCCAAATCCAAAAATTCTTGGACCTGATAGGCTCTAGTTTCCGATTGCCCATAGTTTTTAAATGTACTCAATAAAACTCTGCATTTCTTTTAAATGTTCACATATATGTGGTATATTGTTAGAGTCTAACCATAAATTTGGGTTCGAATACGATCTCGAGCTCACAAGGGAATCGTTTCCAGTAATAAATCGTTTTTGAGTTCGGATTTTATGCATAAAATAGACCCTCTTGAGATATGAAAAAACCCAAAAGAGTGATTTATTCATTAGCGACTAGAAATTAAATGAATTATAAGATATCGTGTTTTTATGATAATTTTAATTGTATACAATTTGACTCAATCCTACGCGTCCTGTTTAGTTTCGAATATCCAAAAAAGGAGAAGTCAATTAAATTTATTAATATAAATTCTATTTTAGTCATCAAAGTTCAAGACAAAATATTGCTTCACCAATGATGACATCAATTCATCGAAGTTTTAATATATTTTTTATAATTATTATTCATATAATATTCTTTTGAGTAAACAAAAGAGAAAAAAAGAACATTCATATTTTACGATTATTATTTCAAATAAATATTCGACTTTTTTTTTGCTTTCTTTTGAAAATTTTTTAATAATCATCAATTTATTTTAACCTGAGCGAAAAACAAAATGATAATAAATAATAGACATATACTGTTCTGAGCGAAAGAAAAGAAAAACGACAAAGAAGAATATCTGCAAATAAAGAAGCTAATTGGATTAATAACATTTTAAATTAATATATATATATATCTATATATATTCTTCTTGAAAATTTATGTTCGTGGTCGTCGAGTATATATACTAGTATTTGTTGAAATGGTTCGATTAGTTTTTAATATTAAATTTTGGCTATGACCAACATTTGTACGTGTAGCTAAAAAAAGACATAAATCATGTATCATATAAATTTTTGGATAAAAAAATTTTTCATTTACCATATTGACATCGTGAACCAGACCATCCTATTGAACAATAACATTGTATACCTTTTCCATATCCATTTTGTTGACATGTACCACGATTGTTACAAAGACTGGAAGAACATCCAGGATGTAATGTTGTTAAAACTGGTGTAACAGTAGGACTTGTTCCTAGAAAATCAAAATAATAACTATTCAATATTTTAGTTTTTAATCATATATATCTATATTACCATCACAGGATGGTCGTTGACTTTGACAACGTGAACCACAATATGGATATGGACATGAACAAACATAATCACCAATTGGACGTTGTATACATTCACCGCCATTTATACATTCCTCTCCGCTATCTATACAGCTAATTACTGAAACAAAAAACCCAAATATACATTTTAAAGAAGAATAAACTGTTTTTATTAATTACATTGTTCACATCGATTTCCTGAATAACCAGGTGGACAGAAACAACGAAAACCTTGAGGATTAAATGGATCATTTTGACATGTACCACAAATACATGGATTTTTGACACCACAAATATCAACTTAAATAAAAAAAAGCAAAAATGAAATACCATGCTAAGAACTTTAAATCAATAAACCTTGATCACAATTTTGTCCTTCAAAACCTGTCAAACATTGACATGTATATGTACCACCACCTGAACTAACACAAACACCATTATTTTTACATGGTTGACTTGCACAACCATCTTGATCTTCACATCGTTGACCACTAAATCCTGGTGGACATTGACATGTAAATCCACCAAATCCATTTGGTATACAAGTACCTCCATTCAAACAAGGATTCGGATTACAAACATCTCCTAAAATACAGTTTTTCAATATATATATATATATTTTTTTTCTCATAAACTCTAAAATAATTGTGTGATTTACTTACTTGTTTCACAACGTGAACCTGTAAAACCAGATGGACATGTACATTGATATCCACCATTTCCATTTGTAGGTCGACATGTACCTCCATTCAGACAAGGATTAGGTTGACATGCATCACGAATTTCACATCGACTTCCAGAATATCCTGGTGGACAAACACAACGAAAACCACCATTATCTCGTATACAAGTGCCTTGATTCATGCAAGGTTGAGAAGCACAAGGATCACCTTATATAAACAGAAGAGAGATTAAACATTTAACATAGAAATATTCGAAAAACTTACGATCTTCACATCTTTGACCACTAAATCCTGGTGGACATTGACAAGTAAATCCTCCAAATCCATTTGGCACACAAGTACCTCCATTCAAACAAGGATTCGGATTACAAACATCTCCTA